TAATCTGCTTTTCAATGTATCTCACTCAAAGAGTTGGCTGTGATTCTACACTTGCGCTATTATTTGCACCATCAGCGTGCATGCAGTGGGAAAACAAATGAACATATGCCCTTCTCAGGTGGAGAACAAAATTAGCCAAAATACAGCAGTGCCATAGAAGTCTTTTTCCAAAAGTATGCTGCCACCTGATTTAAAAGGATTAAAGCAAGGAACCAAAGTGTATGTATATACATGCATACATATACATGTATATGTATACATATACACATGAATCTTATATACATATGGTCTCTCTATGTATGGTCTATATATATATAATCTAATATATGTATCAGACCATTGATTGCCTTTTAAGTACTTTGTATATATTTGGAAGTATAAGGTTCATTCAATACAATCATATAATAAACACTAAAAAACATCATGTTCCTGATCCAAATTTGAACTGTCATCTTAGAAGATTGGATAAAAATTTCTATGTTCATTTATATGTCTTGAGACATTTAGTATTATCAGTATGAACATTTCCTACAGAGATTGTGTTTGGTGATTTCTGTGATAATCATTTTACTAAAGGGTTAGTCCCCTCAAATAACTGAACTTTAAGTAGGAGTATAGAAATATAATGCTTTTATAGAGTATGGATTTAAGCTGTCTGGATTCATCTCATGGCTGCAGTTTTAATGACCGAGTCTATTCAAAGAATATTTAGGTCTTAACAGATAGTTAATATATGGAAGTGGCATTTGCCTATATTTTTAAGAGGGTAATTTGAATAATTCCAACCATTCTTATTTGTTGCCTTCTGTAAACTGTTGTTATATATCTAGGCAGCTCACTAAAGTTTTGAAAATAACTTTGAGAATAATATGTTACAGTTAAAATTTACTTCTTAAAAGTTAGAAATTAGAAATATATTTGAGGCTGCTTACATGAGAAGAGTTGGGGAAAGACAGTGTAGAATCACTCAGGGAAAATACAGCAATGCATACCTTTAAAATAAGGAAAACCTAAGCTATGTGTGGAAGAAAAGCCCCCCTTTTGATTAGGTGATAGAACAAAGGGTGGGATGACCTACTGCCTGTAACCCTCGAGCCCCAGATAATTGGCAGGTTGTGATGACAGCCTCACCAAATTACCAGTACAAAAAAAAAGAAAGAAAGAAAAGAAGCCAGCACCGTGACTGGCGGTCTATCTGTGGAGCCAGAAGGAAAGAGGAAGGGAATTGGGAGCACACAGAAGGGGTGTTCTGAGCTCCGTGAGTTCCTGGTGACCACAGTTTCGAGAGAGGCTCGGCTGCATGTCCAGCATCCAGCTGACGGATCAGGAAGGTCCTCTCGGGCCTGATGAGCTATAAAATGAGGACAGATGACTCAGCCACAGAATCTCAATTGACAGAAGACTGCCTTGTTCGTGTTCATTACGAATATGGCTCCAGTTTTCACTAATACTTCTGGGTCGGTAAGCATTGATACATTTAGTTTTGTTTTATTCTGTTGAGCTTTTTTTTTTACTCCAAAGAAAAATGAATTTTCTGTTCATTTCTTCAAATGTGAGAGGAGAGGGGCAGAAGAGTGATGCCTCCCACTTATAAACTGACCGGCATTTAGTAACACACACTTAGAACGCTGCCGGGCTGCGCTGGGTTATAAATATGGAGGCGATGCACTGACCACCACCTGGCCTCTACCTTCCTGTGCTCTGCCGCCACTGCTCTCTAGCCTGGGGCCCCTGGGCTGCTTGTCCAGCTCGCCTGTTAGTGATTAATCTGCTCCTTCCTTGCCCATCCCTTCTGTCGCTGGACCCTTCCCCAGCAATCGTCTGTAACCCTTCCTTCCTCCCAAATACTATTAAAAATTTACTCCTTTTGGAAACATTTACAAGCCATTTCCACCTGCCACCAGTATTTCCAGAACTTTATGATGGCCTCGTATGACTGTGTTTCCTGTAAGTGCCAAATGTGTGCCTTTGCACAATACACAGCGTCAGGACGATTGTCCCACCTTCACTGAGAACGGCTTTAGGTCAAGAGTAGTCTTTCCATTTGTGTACATTTCCACCCTCCATAATATCCCAACGTACAGGGCGCACCATTGTTTTTGTCACTGTTCATTCATTTATTGGGCTCCAAGGTTGTGCAGGAGATAAGGCGAAATAGAGACTCAGTTCCCACACTCAAGGAACTGAAGTTTGGAGAGGGCACATTACCTGTGGACACAGCTCCCCTACTTACGACGGAGTCCTATTGCCCTCAAGTGAAATGGCCTTTGCCTTGGCTTCTCTCTCTGTCCACCCCATGGTCTGTGCTCCACTACGGGATTTTAGCAGTTCTGGGGACAGTGGAAATGGCGAGCTCTGGATTCTGTTCCCCCTGTCTGAAGAGCGCCTGTCGTAGCCCCTTGTGCTTCTCCTTTTCCCCCAACTGGTGCATTCTCTTCCTTGAGGTCCTAGTTTCACTGTCGCCTGGCATTAATGAGGCTTTCTTGGCTACTTTGCTTAAAATAGGTCACCCTGATATTTCATCTCATAGATTTAGTACTTACGTGGCTCTTGTCACAGTGCATGCTGTTCTGTTTATTTATGGTCTGTCTCTCCCGATGAGCTAAGCTTTCATGTGAGGGATGAGTCTGTTTTCTTCTACACTTTGGACCTCATGCAATTGCTGGCATAGAGCGGTCTGCTAGGAGAGACTGAGTAAATGATTTGAGTTGGAAAGTCATAGGAGTATAACGGAAAAATGCATAAGGAGATTTATAGGTGCACTTTTTAATAGTACAGTTTGTTTAATGTTGGCATACTCATCAATATGATCGGATACAACAGCAAATAATAAGTGAATGAGTAATCAGTACAACATGGATGATTCTCAGAACTATAAAGGTGAATGAAAAAATTAAGTAGAAGAAGAAATCTACTGTATCTTCACTTAGATATAGTTCAAAGCCATGCACAACTAAATGCTGTGTCCTTTGGGGACCCCTGTACTATAAGTGAACTAAGAAGATTAGTGCTTCTCTAATCTTTTGGAGGCCTGGATGGAGTTCAGGGGACATCAGCTAGTAATGGGGTCTAAATGGAATAGCTAATGAGCTATTTGTCCAGTATTCAGGAATGCCCTTAAAATCAGTTTAGGTCTAGTTTGGTCTTTTTTTTTTAATGAAACCTTTTCTGTTTTTTTAGAGTTTTTGTTCCTCAAGGCTTTCCAATGTTGAATTCAACGTTCCTGTGTGTGTGTGTGTGTGTGTGTGTGTGTGTGTGTAGCAGAGTACTGTGGAACCACTTTATGTTTTGTGGAATTTAGAGGACAGGGCCAGTTGTGGCTTTGTGCTTTGGACAATCTCTGGGACAGATCAAAGGACAGAGGGAACAGAGGACAAGAAAATATCTCAGGTGAAAGGTGATGGAGGCTGAGCTGGCTGCCGGTCATAGGAGTGGAGATGAGGGTACGGATTTGTGAAGAGGGGAAGGAACTGATGTCAGGGGGAATCTTGTGGTTCATAAACTGCAGAGGATAGAGGGAGGAGACTGTTAGAAAAGCTCAGAATTTGCAGACCAATGATCTATGGAAGGTGGCAACACCGTTACTGGATTTCAGCACAACAAGAAGGCAAGACCTTAAATTCGGAACGTATGGAGGTGGAGGTTCCTGAATGAGAGGAGTATAACTCTGGTGGGGAACAGAGCAGCAGGAATGTGGATTGGGGGCACAGGCAGAAGAAAAGAGAGCCTGGAGTCATCCAGAGAGGAGTAATAATGGAAGTGAGTGAGGTTTATAGATACAAGGTCTTGCTCGCCACCTATGTTTCGTTGATGTCTGGGGAAGAGGAGATGGGAAAGTTGCTATCAGGGATGGCCAAGCAGTTGGAGACAGAGGAGCCACAGAAGTCCAGGGTCAGGGGCTATATGCAGTGTGCATTTTTACAGAGGAGAGTGATGCTCCATTTTCATTTGATTGCCTGTGCCTCCTATGCAGGGTTAAAGAAAAAAAATGGGTAGAAAATGATTCTGCTATTTGTTTCATTTGCCACATGACTGAGCTGTCATTTGTCTGCCTTTGAGAGGAGAGGATCCTAATTTTCTGTGATCTAAATGTAGTCCATTTTAAAGGTACCTAAATGGGACACACTTCAGGAAGATGTATGCCTTGCTTAGGCACTACAGCAAAGTGTCAGAGTAAATCACTGAAAATCAAAGACACGATCGTCTGTGGGGTGCGGCAAATTACTGTCATATTTACAATGAGTATTACAAAGGGCTTTTCTGGAAGAACTGTAAGGGAACCCTCATCCGGAAAATGGTCTTTTTGGAGTTTGGTCTATTGTCACTTTATGCCATGTGGGGGATGGGGACACAATAACAGCGTTGTGTTGCTGCCACAATTAATGCTGAAATTCAGAAATTTAGAGCATGTTGGCAGTCTCTGAACATGTGTCTTTGTACCTGTGTGGAGTTATAGTTCTGTAGCAACCACGATCATTATGAAGTCATTCCTTTTACCACACACTGTTACGAGTGAATTTAAATTTTGCTCCTGCCCTCTAGGAGTTTATCATTGAAGACAGTATGTAACGTCAAGGGAATGTGACAATGGAAATTTCAGATGGTTCCCAGTTTTTTCCTTTTTTTTTGGTCCCCATCTCTAACTCATGTAGGCCTTACACAGTTATTTTATATATTAGCTGAAATTTGGTCAATGATATATTTGACGTCTGAAGGAAGTGGGATCATCTGGATTGACTTATTACCCAGAGTTGTGTTTTTATTTTTCTCTATTTTTGAAAAATGAGTTGTTTTTAGAAATAGTTTTAATTTAATCCCTGTTGAGTTGTTTTAGAAATAATTTTAATCTGTGTAATTTTAAAGGAGTTCTTTTCCAATGTACATGACTTGAAAAAATAAATCATTCTGTGGTGTTTGAGCCACTAGAGTGGACACATTTCATGAATGTCTTAAAAATTCAAAATTAATGGTTGTTCCATAGTTAAAAATAGGTGAAAATGATTCTTTTGTATTTCATCTACGTGATGATGGGGTCTTCATGCTCTTGTGTGAGGTGTGCCTCCCTCAAACTGTGTGAGGACCCCAGCATATCACCCTTTCCGACAGGAAAAAAAAATAGGTAAATATGAAGGAAGCTGTTCATTTTAGTTAACTGTGAAAAATGTCATATTTTCTTAGGGAACAGTTCTGCATCTGGCAAAGAGAAATTATATATATGGATATATATATATATATATATATATATCTCCAACTAATATGCGTATGTATGTATGTATGTATATATATATATATATATTTTTTTTAAAGTCCCCCTGAACTGATTTTTTGAAAAATCTCAAATGTTAAATATGGAGATAGGGGAAGAATTTTATAAAGCAGTAATTTCCATGGGCAGACCTTAGATCTGTAATTTTATAAACCCATATGTTTAGAATTAGAGGAGTCATCCCCATACTCAATAAATATATAAATTGCATAGTAATTCAGTAATGTATGTTTCCCTGTTCTCAGTTAGATAATGAATGACTCAACATGGATTTAAAAGAAAGATTATGTGAGACTTTTTCATTTGTGTCTACATAATCTTCTCTTTAAATCCGCGTTGAGTCATTCATTACCTACCTGTAAACAGGGAAACACAAAGGAAGCTGTTCATTTTATTTAACTGTCAAAAATGCCTCTGGTCATTCCTTAGAGCCCTCTGGAGTTCTTTGAATTTTTGTCTTTCTGCAGGCAGCTCTGTCCTTCTGGAGTTCTTCCCACATTTTACATGATCTCTTGTATCTTCTGTATTTTTAAGGCCCCTTTCATACTCACCTTCCTAGGGAGCCTTGTTTGGTTGTCCTTCCATTCCCTTAGCAGGAATGGCTCTCATAGAAATGGATGCATTCTTTCCTTGGGGTGCTTTCACTCCTCCTTTTGGTAAAGGTCTCAGTCTGCTTGTCCTCTTTCCCAGACTTGCCACCTTTGAGAGCAAGGGCTCCACCTCATCCTTCTTTGCCCACTCTCTGTGCTTTAGCAGCAGCCATGCCCAGTGTAGGTGTCCTACACAGGAAGGGTAAGGATGGGAGCAAGTGCGTGAAGACCTCTGCATGTGGAGCCTTTCCTGCAAACCTCCATTAATTCTGCCTAGTTACAAGTTGCCTATTCGCCAAAGCATCATGGGAAGCAGACGAAGTTAGGCTCAAACTGCGAGGGCCTATGGAGGTCAGCCTTCATTCAGTAGGCAGTGGAGAACTATTATTTTTCTGCAGAGCTCATTGGTTTTTTAAAATTTTTGTTGCAGTAACGTGTGTAACATTATATGAGTTTCAGGTGTAGAACATTATAACTCAATATCTGTGTGCTCTCTAGTGTCACTGTATATTTGGGCCACCATATACTTGACCCTGTTTACCCATTTTGCCCTACCCCACCTTCATTTCCCTCCTGTAACCACCGATCTTTTGTCTGTATCTATGGTTTTGGTTTGGTTTGGTTGTTCTCTTGTTTCCTTTTTGTTTTATATTCTACGTATGAGTAAAAGCACACAGTTATTATCCCTTTCCTTTCAACTTCTGTCTCTTAGCACAATAATGTCAACATTCATTTATGCCAGAAATGGCATATTTTTATGGCTGCATAGTATTCTGTTTTATATATGTACACAGGCCAGATCATCTTTATTCATTCATCTGTTGATTGTCACGTAAGTTGTTTCCATATCTTGGCAATTGTGAATAATGTTGTAATAAACACAAGGGTACATATATCTTTTTGATTAGAGTTTTATAATCTTTGGATAAGTACCTAGAAGAAGAACTGCTGGATCACACAGTAATTCTATTCTTAATATTTTGAGGAATCTTCATGGTGTTTTGCATAATATAAAGCTGGTTTTTCTTTTTTTGAATTGAACAGCTTTATTCAACTTTGTATCTCGCAATGTATATGTTGAGACACTGTTCAGGATGATTAGTTTGCCAGTGATAGAAAGGATGAATTGGGAGCAGGCTGTTCTCAGGAAGTAAGAGGAGGAAAGCAGGTAACATCTGGGACTTGCTACCATTTGGAGCAGATTCAGAGATTTATGCCTCCCGATGTTTGAAAGTAGGAAGAGCTTGGAAAGGAAAGAGCCAGACAAGGAAAGCAGGGCAAATTGATATTCCAAGGAGTAAAAAATGGTATCATATTGAAAAGTGACAGCTCAGATTCAAAAGCATAGAAATGTGGATAAAAGAAGAGGTTAGCAATGCAAGAATGGAAATGCTATTTGTTACTGTAAAAACTCAAATTAGCTAAAAGGATAAATTCTTTCAGTGTTTTTATATAATTTAGTAACTCTACATATTCCTGTTTCTCACCTGATTAGTGGATCTTTTAGAGTTGAATACAACAAATGAAGTTTTCAAACAGCACAAGCTGAACCAGAATGATCAGCTCCTCAGCGTCCCAGATGTCATCAACTGCCTGACCACCACTTATGACGGCCTCGAGCAAATGCACAAGGATCTGGTCAATGTTCCTCTCTGTGTGGATATGTGTCTCAACTGGTTGCTCAATGTATATGACACGTAAGTTTTGATTTTTTCTGGTTGAAATACAGTCATTGAATGAAATATGCTAATATAAAATATGTAACTTTTTAAAGTGAATTTTTTAATTCTTATTTAGTTAGAGTTGTCCCCATTTTTCCCCCTGTGTCTCTCCCCTGCCCCTTCCAAACCCTACTCCGAAAGACAGTTCCCACCCCATTGTCCTTGACCATGGGTCCTTTGTACATATATCTTGACCCTTCCCTTCCTTTACAGTTATTCCCCTCCTCCCTTCCCTCTTTTCACTCTCAGTTTACTATTAAAATACTTTATTCAGTGGAAATATTTATGTTAATTTTTGAAAAGGAATGACTTTCTAAATAATGAGCAAGTAGCCAACAATAAAAAAATGAATGTCTATTCTAGGGGTGTCAAACTCATTTTCACCGGGGGCCACATCAGCCTTGCGGTTGCCTTCAAAGGGCCAAAATGTAATTTTAGGACTGTGTAAATGTAACTACTCCTTAACTAGGGGCAAGAAGCTCTACATTCAACTACTTCATCCATTCATTATTAATGAATGAATTGAATTCATCATTAAATAATGAATAGTACTATTCATTATTTAAAGATGTTGCTTTAATTACTAAAGCTGTCAAACTTAGAGTTTTTTTTTTGTCACCATGCTAGGGGAAACCTAATATAAATAAATCTAATTTTTTTCTCCCTCTGGAATTTCTTACAGTATTTTTTCCAAAAGATGGTATTTTATAGTTACTGTTATGAATTAAAATTATTTCTTGGTTTATAATATTCCACTTTGCTATTTTTGTTTGACAACTTAAGAGCAACTTGAATGGCAATTAATGGCATTTAATGTCTCCTTTAGTATTAGCTTTTCTTATCGCAGTGGTGGTTGTTTATGTATATATATGATGTTTTAAGTAATTTACACTATAGCGCACTAATGTCTATAATTTAGTTAGGTACTCACTGTTCATGAACAGCAGTGTAAACCTCCAGCACAACTCAATTGTCATTAATTTGACTTTTTTTGAATGTGACAGTGCATTTGTAAAATAATTTTAGAAAGGCTTCCTGCTGTGGGCTGACATTTCTAAAACATTAGGAATTATTCATTCTTCTGGTAGGGGGTTAAAATATGCAAAGATGAAATAAGAAAATTAGAACCGTTGTTTTGCTCTCAGTCCCTAAAAGTTATTTTTCATTAATTAGCTGTATGAAAATTTGTGTTTATTATTCTCCCATTTGATTTAGAGAAAAAGAAGATAAATGATAGTTCATAAATGCATACATTTAGCAGCTGATTCTGTGTAAGTAAATGATGGTGATGGCTTTAGACATGATTTAATTAAAATTTTGTTTACGCTTTTGATTAGAACAATCTTTTCTTTTTCAATAGTCACAAATATTGTAAAGATTTAAAAAAAATAAGCAATTAGCCTTTGCATGCTCGAGGGTTCTTAAGAAATTCCCTGAGAACGAATAACATGAATCCCAATTACCATAATGAATGTGGGATTTACTGTGTCCCTATGTGACATATTTTAATACGTTCCATTGTACCGCATTCTATCTTCCTATGGTAAAAGAAAACTGTTAGCAATTATTCACTATTAAGTTGATTTTTCATTTTTTTAAACCTCCAAAAGAGACATTTTCTCTAGTAAGTTCATCAGAATAGCTGGTCAGTTAGATGTTTTAACTACAAAACCTGTAACTTGATTTTGCATCTCAGGAAGAATGCTAAATCCATAGAATACTTAGGAACTTCATTAAGCCCTGTGGATAAGTTAGAGGGGCACATCTTGAACCATATTCAAAGGCAAGACTGAAAGAGATGTCGAATCACACCCTCATCATTGTTTGTGGATTCAACACACTGCATTAGTTTGCTAGGGCTGCCATAACAACATTTCACAGACTCAGTGGCTTCAACAGAAGTCTAGAAGTCCAAGATCAAGATGCCAGCAGGGTTGCTTTCTTCTGAGGCCTCTCTCCTTATGTTACACTTGGCTGTTTTCTCCCTGTGTCTTCACATGGTCTTTCTCTTGTGTGTGTCTATGTCCTAATTTCCTGTTCTTATAAGGACATGAGTCAAATGGGATTAGGGCCCACTCTAATGACCTCATTTGAAGTTAATTACCTCTTTCAAGATCCTATCTCCAAATACAGTTGCATCCTGAGGTACAGGGAGTTAGGACTTCAAAATATGAATTTTAGGAAGATGTAATTCAGCCCGTGACATATGTGTGCCATTTTCACTGGATAGCCTAAAGGGAATAGTGCTGCTTAGGTGGGAAGGAAGCAGTATGTGACATGTTGTGATTCATATTCCAGGGAGTTATATGTGGGTATATTTCTGTTTTCCACCATCAGATGAGAGCACATGAGAAATTCTACTAAGATACTGTTTTTTTTTTTAGAAGAACAATATCTTGAAATTTTACATTTTAAAGGGCAAAAAGATTTTAGGATGCATCTCCATTTCATGTCAAAGAAATGTAGCAAAGACCATGCTGGGTCAGAAAGATGTCCATTCTCTGTAGTTTTCTCTCTTAGAGAGAAAT